CTACATTGCTGTAAGGAATCACATTAATTGCACTTGAACCACTAAAAAGCAATTGAAGCCAGTTCAAATCAAACTACACAAGAAAATAGAGGCAGACAGATTTGCCATATTAATATATAAGAATGGCAATCATAGACATCACCCAAGTTGACAATGTTGAATCAAAGCAATACTTGTTCAGAATGAGAAAAACCCCTAAAATCATAAACAAGCACCCTTCTCCTTTTAAAAACCACTATGGAGAAGGTTTAAACCCTAATTCCAACGTTAAGACACTCTTACTGTTGTTCACCGCCTTCTGGCTGCTTGGGAGCCTCCTTGATCTCATCAGCGCCATCATCCTGCAACAACATTAACCAAATCCATATAAGAAACAATAGATCCTCCACACAAGCAATTTTCCTGAGATACTAAACATAAAGCCACCTAATTAGGGTAAAGATGCTTTACCTGCATATCTGATGTCCACAAAGTAAGGTTGTCACGAAGAAGTTGCATAATCAAAGTGCTATCTTTGTACGAATCTTCTCCTAGGGTGTCTAGCTCAGCTATTGCTTCATCAAATGCCTGAACAAAAAGGAACAGAGCAAAAATATGAGGCATACACCTTTCTGAATACAGTTAATGAGATGTTCTTATGTAACTTCTATTAGATACATTAGATGGCATACATATCTCGAAATATTATGGTTTTATAACAAAAATTTGCATATCTTCCAATTTGAACAGCAAATACCTGCTTTGCAAGATTGCAAGCTCTGTCAGGAGAGTTCAAAATCTCATAGTAAAACACAGAGAAGTTAAGAGCCAATCCAAGTCTAATAGGATGAGTAGGAGCAAGCTCGGCATTTGCAATATCCTGAAATTCAATTCACAAACATAAAGACCGTAAGAATTACACTCTACTAAAAGATATAATTTGTTCAGAAATAACATGAATATCATCCCAACAAAAATTTGATCCTGCTCTTCTCAAATTCATACCATTAGCGTTACAGAAAGATATTAACAAAGTAAATAATTTCCGAAGGTTAAGTTAAACTTCATTGAGCAAATTGTAGCAAATGAAAGCTTCAAATTCACAGCCTCAGTATTTTGACACCAACTGAAATTCAAAGTATATTACGGAATATCCTAATTCAATGTCCAAATTCCAATTATCTTCTAAACCTAAATGAGAATTACAGCATACCTCAATTTTCTGAATCTACCAAAATTTGAAACATAACAATCCAAATACAATGCACAATATTGGACAAGTGGCTTTAAACCGGATCAAATCCTCAATACAATTCCTCAAAGACTCAATAATTCCAGCAAAATGCACAAAATTATAGCAAATCAACGCACAAAACACAAACAAAAACCAAATCCAAACCCTAATTAACAGATCTACCAAATAAAACGAAAAAAATTTATAAATTATACCTGAGCAGCCTTGTAGGCGGTGAGAGTACTCTCAGCGGCTTCTTTCCTCTCAGCACCAGTCTTAAACTCAGCCAAATACCTATGATAATCTCCCTTCATCTTCAAATAAAACACCTTAGAATCACCATTACTAGCAGCAGGAACAAGCTTAGTATCCAGAAGTTTCAAAATACCGTCACAAATATCAGACAACTCCTTCTCAATGCGAGATCTGTAATCACGAATAACAGAGACATGGTCTTCATTACCACGACTCTCCTCCTTCTGCTCAATCGAAGAGATGATCCGCCATGAAGCACGTCGAGCTCCGATGACATTTTTGTAAGCAACAGAGAGAAGGTTTCGTTCCTCAACGGTGAGTTCCTCGCCTTCTGACGCCGCTGAAACAACCTTCTCCATGAACTCCACCATCTCCTCGTAACGCTCGGCTTGTTCCGCCAGTTTCGCCATGTAAACGCTCTCTTCCCTTGCTGAGACCGCCATTGTTAGTTAGAGAGAGAAAGCTTGAGGAATTTTTAGAGAGAGAAAGAGGTTAATTTGGGGATCCTTGAGTTTTTTAGGTTTGTGTTTTGAATTGAAAGGGGAAGAGAGAGAAGGGGGGTGTATTTGATTGGTGCCAAGCTGTAAATTGGTAATGATTGTGTGGGGGGAGCAACTTTTGTGGGGGTGAATGAGGGCCGTTGGATTTTGATCGGACGGTGGGAAGAGGGGTGTCAGTTGTTGAATAGTGAATTAGTGATGTGTAATTAATTTTTAATTTTTTTTTTTAGGATTTGATTGACAGCGTGGTGTACGGCGATCATGTGTTTTTGACTTTGAATGTTTGGGCTGCGGAGATGTGTGGTGGTCCATGATAATGAGGTTTAGAAAGTTGGTGTAAAGCGGGCTGGGCTTGTATTTGGTTTGTGGTTTGGACCAAGCTGTTAGTTAAGCATGGCTGGTAGAATGGATTAATGGGTTGTTGGTTATCGATCATTGGGCTCGTCCTTATTTTTTTTTAACGGAAAGAAAAAGAATTTAATTTAAAAAAATAATAGTCAAACAGTTTATAGGAAATCTAAAATTTCATCACAAGTACTTGATGCATTTGAGTGGAAATACTCATATGGTGTTTTACATACTTCCGGAGATTATGAAACTGATTATATTATTACGGCGAAAATATTATATGACTGTGTAACTGTACAGGATATAAAAACTTGCAAAGGAAAATAATGTTGAAAGTTGTGTGAAATCATTGTTTTGTTTCTTTCAAAAAGTACACAACAATTGAGGATTATGAATTTGAAGAGTCAGTTGTTTATAGTTCAAAAAAATGACATTTTGGGCGTGTTTGACCTAGCGTTTGAATAGATTTTAGGTAGTTTTTAGTGGTTTGACTTATTCAAATCATTACTAGTAAAAGATATGAGTGTTTGGCAATGTAGTGGTGGGAGCAGAGTTTAATCACTGGAGTAACTTTTGTAAAAAGTTAACATTATTAGCTTTTGTAAAAATCGAAGTAGCTGTTGGAATTTTTCTTTTGTATTTTTAGAATTTTACAGCTAATAGCTAATAAACAGCTAATTTACCAAACACTCATACTTAATTATTTATTTTCACAACTAACAGCTAGTTGACAGTCAATAGCTATACATACAGCTTACAACTACCCCCTCCGTTTTTTTTAAGTGCCCCATTTCCCGTAAACGGTTTTTTTTTTAAGTGCCCCATTATCAAAAGTGAAAACCCCACTCACATTATATATTATTTCTCTCTCTTCCTTTTAACCCCATTATCATTTTATAATATTTTTCTCCCTCTCACATTATTCCTAGTGGTCCCCATTCATATTTCTCTTTTTTACTTTTTCAAATTTTATGTTCCTAACTATACCCACCTATATATTATTTTATTCTTTTTCCTAAAACTATGTGACAAAGGATATGGGGCACTTAAAAAAACGGAGGGAGTACATCAACAACTGCATTTTGCCGAATACGCCCTTATTTTGGGTGTTTAAAGAGTCACTAGGGCGGGGGTGATGAGAATTGATCATATGATCTCTTGAAATCGGGAAGGAAGCTCTAACCACTTGAGTTATCCTCCACTCTCACACGCCCTTTATTTTAGTAGTGATTGTAAATGAGTGAGCATAGCGAGGATATATTTTCTTCCTCGTAAAAAAAGGTCATGTTTTCTTCGCCTTATCAAAAGTGTTATGATGTGATTTTTGAACATGCTCCATTCTTTTGGTACTTAACAAGAGTCGTTTTAGGCTATGTTCTATTTATTCATTTCAAATTCTTACTGTTATCAAATTTCATATCCGACCAAAATAAATAAAAATAAATTAGACCATATCAAATCTTCATACATTTTTTAATGACAAAATATATATTTAAAATTCATATTATTAAAAGTTATAAAGATTAGTAGTTTAAAAAGTCTACTTACGATCAATATCTAGTCAAATCAACAGACCTTAAAACAATCAAAACAGGCATAAACACACCGTCCATACGTACCAATCCGTTAGCAATCAAAGATTTCAAACGAACCCATATGCTCAAAAATCAAAAACCATCCTAGAAATCGTAGTACACCTAATATCATTGTCCATGAAGACATTGATTACATCATCATCATCCTCCCCTAAACCAAAAAATAGAAAACAAGAGGAAAACGTGATGGGCTACGTTTGTATTTTAACGAGAACAAGGGCCCAAAAGAAGCAAACTTCCTTTTTCCTCTCAAAGAAAAAAAGAATCTCCCAATTTCTTTTCCTCTTTCTCTCTTATCTTCAATTGTCATTGTAAATCGTGCTCATAATGCATCACTTTCATACTTGTCTTTCCTACGGCTAAATCTAATCCTTCAATATCAAAACTTCCAAATACTTCTTCCGTATTCTTAATACATTACTTTTTATAAATTTATAAATGAAAGTTTCAATTTAGATATATCACATTCTCTAGATACATAATATAAATTAAACAATCGTAGATGCATCAATTCTCTTTATCTCTTCTTATAACACGAACCTTTTTTTATTTTTTTCTCGCTATCTCTCTATACTTTAAAAATTAATCAGGAGTCCACAATTACAAAAATAATACATCTAAAAGAACGTAAAATGTATCAAATTGAAAAACATAAAATAGGGTTTTTCAAAGCTATGCCCTTATAGTTGTTGAGTTTCATGGTGTGCCCATACTTTTTTAAAATTACAATATATGTCCTCTAATTTAAGGTGTTTATTCAACCGTATCCTCTTATGTTAAGACAATTTAATAGTTGTGTTAACTGTTAATTACCCACTTTGGAGAAAAATTTCACGTTCATATTGGGTTAGAGTTATATAAGGGAATTAACATTAAACATTTTTTCCACATTTTCTCTCTTACTTTTTTCTTCTTTCTTATTATAAAAGCAACTATTAATATGTCAAAATCTCGAATTTTTTTTCCTCATCTGCTTCTTATTACTTCCCATTCATTTACAATTACTAACGTCGAATTAACGTTATATAATACGATTAATTAAACACTTTAAATTGAAAGCACAACTTATAATCTTGAGAAAATATAAATATATCTTAGAAACTCAAAAAACTCAATGGCATAACTTAGAAAAATCCAATAAAATAAATTTTATACTCCCCTTTAATTTTTGCTACGTTTCCACTTCCTCCTCTCTCCAAATCATTTCCTCATTTTAACAAATTTAACTTTTTCTCTCTAGTTTGTTTACTCTTTGTCGTTTTCCCTCTCTTCATGTGCTCATAAACCCAGAATATATCTTACTAGTACTTAAAACCACCCCACGCTACTACCAATCTCAAGAACTTCCTCAACCCAAAAAAATAATTTTATAATAAAAAAAGAGTTGATTTTATTTTCATTTGATTGGGAAAAAAAATGGAGAGATATGAAATAGTAAAAGATATTGGGTCTGGAAATTTTGGTGTTGCTAAGCTTGTTAAAGATAAGTGGACTAATGAATTTCTTGCTGTTAAGTTCATTGAAAGAGGTCATAAGGTCAGTTTTATTTTTTTATTTTTTTATTTTTTTAAGTAGCTAAAATTTACTTTTTTGATGTTCAAAAGTAAATTTGGTGGGTGATTTGATCTGGGTTAATGGTAAATTTTTTTGTTTAGAATTTTTGAAGGTTTTTGTGATGTTTTTTTGTTGTAGATTGATGAACATGTGCAAAGGGAAATAATGAATCACAGCTCTTTAAAGCATCCCAATATTATTAGATTCAAGGAGGTAATTTTACTTATTTCTTACCAAATTATTTATAAAAATTATGAATTAATCAGGCTGGAATTAGGATATAAAAGCTTGCTATTTTAATGTACGGAGTATTAGTTAGTTTGCTTATCAATTAATTAATTAACGGTTTTTGTTTGTGGTTTATTACAAGCTTGTTTATGAATTGGACTAAGATTTTGGCAGTAATTTGATATTTCGGGTGTGTTTTCGTTTTTTTTTTTTTTTTTTTAATTTAATAAGGGTAGTTTTGGAATAAAAACATCGACGAGAGATTGAGGCCAATCCCGGGGAGGCGGAGATTGGCCAAGCATTTCTCGTGTAATAGTATAACTTGATGTGATGGAATGTTAGTGCTTTATTGTAGCTTTTTCATTCAAGCTAGGCTTGTTGTTAGACTTGAAAAATTGTAAGTGAAAGGAAAAGGTTGATCAACAACTACCAAATACTAGTACAAACTATGTCGAGAATAAATAATTATATAATTTGGATCGTACAAGCAACTTAGGAAACATTAGTGGACAAACCACGAACTTAAGTAAGGTGGAGGATGACAAAGACATTAGTTATTAGTCAATAACAAACATTGGCTTTTTTTGTTAGTAATAGTATATACTAGCAAATAATGCACCTTACGATTAGAGCTATTCAATTCGTCGTTCCTTCCTTGACAATATGCTTCGTGTTCTGAGGAAATGGTGTCAGCACCTCATCTGGATCTATTCCTTGATGTCCAGAATCAATTTTTGGCCAATCAGTTGCTGGGTAATTGCACCATTTTCTTGGAACTTAAGTGCTCATTGGTATAGAATTGATGTGGACAACATGGTTGGGATACACATATTTTGATGAATGAAAGGAATAATCGAGTGCTTAAAAAGTTGAAATGATGGGATTACTACATAAGACAATTGCAGGCTTACTCTTAGAGGAATAAAATTTTACAGTGAAAACAGAATCAACAAATTTTTATTTTGTACTTAAAAATATGTTAAAAGAGGAATTTCGGTTGCAATTTCTAGACTTGGTATTGTGTAGAAATTTACGATCAATGTGATCTGAACTTCTCTTGCAGGTTTTGCTTACTCCGACACATCTTGCAATAGTAATGGAATATGCTTCAGGTGGAGAACTCTTTGAACGGATATGTAAAGCTGGTAAATTTAGGGAGGATGAGGTATTGAACCTTCTATTGTGGTAGAATTTTTCAGAAAAAATCAAAAGAATTATTGTTATCCATTCCATTAGATTCAACAAAGTATAACTCGATACTAGTTGGATGACTATATGAGAAATTGGAATGTCCCCTCATATTCGCTTTCTTTTGCTTTTTACTTACTAGTATTTCTGATTTATGCTGTTGTAATAATCATTGTATGTGACTATGTTCCCTTACATAAATTGGCTTCTTATTTTCCCTTTTGTATCAATATGTTCACCTCACCAAATAGGGGGAAGGGGTGAATAAGTTATATCATAACTAATCACTTCTCTCCTCTTTTTTCATTGTATGTATCAGGCAAGGTTTTTCTTTCAGCAACTAATATCCGGAGTCAGTTACTGTCATTCGATGGTAGTATTTGTGATCTTCCTTTTACTTGCTTCTTACTTTCCATTTCTCTGCTTAAAAACATTAGTCATTATCCTAAAGGAGATTCCTTTATGCAGGAAGTATGTCATAGAGATCTTAAGCTAGAAAACACACTCTTAGATGGAAGTGCTGCACCACGAGTCAAGATATGCGATTTTGGTTACTCCAAGGTAAATGTTATTATTCATCTTCCCCCTTAAAATTGCTAATCTGTATCAAATAACTTGGTAAGGAATGGGTGAGCATTCTGATTACAACCTGGATGCTACATGAACTAGAAAGAAACTAACTTCTTGTCTTTGCAGTCTTCAGTGTTGCATTCCCAACCAAAATCTGCAGTTGGAACACCAGCCTATATTGCACCAGAAGTGTTATCCAAAAGAGAGTATGATGGGAAGGTGATTTGAAGTTTCAAGCATATACTCTACTTAATTTTTCTTTACCTTTTATTGGCACTTGCTCGAGCCTTATAATATTACATTTGTACTTTTTCTGGGTTGTAGATTGCAGATGTTTGGTCTTGTGGTGTCACTTTATACGTTATGCTGGTTGGAGCTTATCCCTTTGAAGATCCAACTGACCCAAAAAACTTCAAGAAAGCCCTCGTTGTAAGTTATGACATCAATTATAGTATGCAGCTGAATCCAACTTATTGTTATCATTGTCACACAGTTTATTTAATATGACTACTTGTATATAATTTGACAGCGGATACTTAATGCACTATACTTGGTCCCTGATAATGTTCCGATATCCCCTGAGTGCAGGCACCTTCTATCTCGTATCTTTGTGGCCAACCCAGAGAAGGTAATTTATGTTTTAATCTTTTACTTTATTTATGACTGTATAGTCTGAAGTTGTGAACTGCCATTGAATGTCCGGCTTGGAACTTTTGGAAATCCACTTTAAAGCCCCCGGACCAAGCCACATGGAGAGGTTAATGTTGTAAATTCACCTTTTCCTATATGAAAAATAGATTCATACAAAGTATCACTTAGAAAGAAGAAGATTCTGAATTATTAGCTAGGTTTAAGGTTCCGCATCCTTTACAGTGAACTGTTGGATGATCAATTCCGGCTTCATTCCCCTATCACTTCACGGTGGATACTGTTATACTGTTGTATCATTGTTCATTTGTTTGATACTCTATTCTCGTTATTATTCATCCTTAAATTTTGTTCTGTTTTTTCGCTCTTTATATTTCAATTCGTAGTGAAATTTAACTAATTAGTTAAGTTTTGCGTCAAAAGGCACCTAACTGAGTTGATGTTGGCCTGTTGGGTCTTTGAACAGAGAATAACAATTCCAGAAATTAAAAACCATCCTTGGTTTTTGAAAAACTTACCAGTGGAGCTTGGGGAAGGTGGAAGTTGGCAAAGCAATGATATTAATCAACCACCCCAAAGCGTCGAAGAGATACTGTCTGTAATTCAGGAGGCACGACAACCCCATCAGCCACCTAATATTACAAGCGGACTGCTTGATTGTGGTAGCATGGATTTTGACGATGTGGATGCAGATGTAGATCTTGATTACATGGAAAGTAGTGGTGAATTTGTATGATTATGATGAATCATTTACAGTGTTACAAAAATGTATCATATGTAAATCATAAACACTTTTGCCCTCATGAGTAATCGAGCATGAGTGTTGTGCAAAGAAAATGACCGAATGAGGCAATATATATTTGTCGCGTTCATATGTGTAATTTCCATACCAATGGAACCAAGATCTGTCATGACTTTAATCATCAATATACTCAGTTGTCACACACTCTGTTCATTTTAACTCGGTTTTATTTTTGTTTTCTTATTGGTGATGCAGATTAGTGGTGGAACAAGAGGCCAACCCATTGATCTAACCACACTCATGAACCAGCTCATGAGGTGATCTGAATGTTTAATGGAACAAGAGGCCAACCCACACCCATTAGATTTAGCTGCACTTGTTTATTCAAAATAGAATAAAATAAAATAATAAATAAATAAAGGAAAGTACAATACATAGCCCTTTTTTTAGAAAAAATACACTTTAACAATTCTAAATATTGTCGATTTAATTCTAAGAATCCCAACTAAGGTTTATTATCTAATAATTGCAATTATAGGGTCTGTTTGCCTCCGATGGTCAGTAACCAGCTGAAAGGGTAATTTTTTTTTTTGTTTTTTAAAAGCCACGTGTCAGCTTGTGATTGGTGTAATATTTTTACAAGAAATAAAAAGAAAAAAAAAGGAAAAAAAAATTCCAAGCCACACCCGACCCTCCCCTTCCCCGTGAAATCATAAGCTAACCCCAGCCTACCGAAAACCGGCCGATCGGCCACCTCCCACCTCCCTAACCCCCCGAAAACGGTCGCCCGTCCCTTCCCACCCCCGAAACTCGCCGTCCGACCTTCTCAATCCCCGAATTTCCAGCCAAACGTCAAACCCAGTCGAGGGTTTCACTTCCTTTTGAAGCCTCACTCCGACCGCAAGTCAGGTCCCGCTCGCCACCAGGGAATTCCGGCCAACAACAACAATCAACGCGATCATCGACTCAATCGTCGGTAAACCCCTCAATTTTCTATCTAACTGCCAACGATCGCGATTTGTTCTGTTCTCGCGGGTTGTTGTTGATTGTTGAGGCTGGCGTTGAAGAGAATTGTGGGGCTGGTTTAGTTATTAGTGGGTGCAGGGTGGTTGTGTAGTGATTTGGTGTAACAACCTCAAATCTCCCTTTACGAAAATACTAGTATAGTACGTATAATTATACCGTAGAGTTGACTTAGCATATTACCGCTGCGTGATTATGCAAGGCTACTCAAACTACTAATTAAAAACAACACCTTCGTAGTGGAAACTCAAACTCTTTCTTTATTAATACTTAATAGAAATAGTAATCATTGTTATGAATACTCAAAAATTGAAATAAAACCAACATCCCTAAAACTAGGTGAAGAATATCCCGAGACTCCCAAATGCTCATTTATTGACTCCACCTGAAAATAGTCAACATTGCTTACCATTAAGGTAAACTAGGCGAACCAAAACCAAAACAAATACGAGTTAGTAAAGTATGCCAAGTACATTCAAGTGCAAGATAAGTAAACTCAATTTATTATTATCAAACATGCTTTTAAAACTGATCATGAAATTCCAATATTTATTTAAATAACTCAAACCTCATAATTCAAAACCAATTCTCAAAATTCTCAGAATAAATCTAATAACTCAATAATTTGATAATAATGAATATTAAAATCAATTCCTCTCCTAAGTGGGCACACCCCTCAAGCTAGTATCTTTATATTGAAAGGCTATTCTTGAGGAAAGACTCGGTCATACAAAGTCCAAAGTCTTATCAACCAAATCCGCATAGTGGAATTAATATAATCATAATTGTAAAGCTTTAATAATAATTCAATAGTTTAATAGTTCCTCTTTAAATCAATAATTTAATCCTTTACAGCTCAAAACTCCTTTTTATTCAATTCAATAATGCTTTCAAAAATCAAACCTTTAATATATGATAAATAATTCCATCATTCAAAACATGATATTAAAATCAATCTTTCAAATTTATTTATTAAAAACATATATCAAAATCAATTCTTCCAAACATACTTTATTTCACAATTCAAATCAATTTCATTTAATCGTCATAAAAATCATACAAAACATGCTATTCAAATCAATCACCTTTAAAGGTATCTAGCCACCTAAACGTACCTTGGTCCTCGCTTAGAAAACACACAAAGAACCTCATGAACTCTTGTCAAAAACACCCTACAATTAAATATAACCTTAATCAATATAAGGTCATCAAATAATCACAACAATTAAAATAAAATCCCCCAATTATATGTACATGAACCTTATAAATTTTCATTTCATAAACTTGAATAATAAACTGATTTATTTAATTAAAAACTCTCATAATAATTTTTATAAAACCCCCATAGTATTAATAATAAAATTAATTAGGAGAAGCGAAGAAGAAATTGAAAACCGAAGAAGAAGGGGGGAAGAAGAGGCTCGGCAAGGAGCACCAGCACGCCGGCAGTTGGCTGCTGCTAGTGGTCGGCGTCGGGGCTTGCCGGAGAAGGTGGCAGCCGGCGATGGAGGTGGTGGCTGACGGTGAAGGTGGTAATTTGTGGTGGCTCACGGTGAAGGTGGTGATTTGTGGTGGTGGTTGGCGCAAGAAATAAAAGAAAGAGATAAGAGAATTAGAGAGAAATTAGAGAGAAAGAAGAGAGTTTTGGTGTGAGTTTTTAGCTATGATTCAAGAGATATTTACAGGCTAGCTCATGCAAGAATTAAGGTAAGAAAATGTAGGAAGAATTATGGCAAATTTGGTTTAAGGAATTATTTGGAAAAGAGAGCTAAAGAACTATGGAACGTTTAGTTTTATGGTGATTAAGGAATAAGAAAATAGGTAAGTATGCAGTCATAAAATATTAAATGGTAAGTGGCTTTGCTTGGGGAATAATCAAGAATGGTTTAAGGTAAATAAATACGATGATCAAATATTTGGGAGATGAAAAATAAGAATTAAGGAAATAAGAGAATTTAAGGAAGATAATTAAAATACAAGAATTACCAAAATAATTTGCTCAAAATTACCATGTGGTGGCCGAAAATATTGAGCCTTGTAAGATCATATTTTTGAACCTCCTCATTGGTCTTTAAGAATTATTTTTCTAGATTTTAAGGAATAAAAATAATTGTGTAACTAATATATTTTGTATAAAATAATTAATTAGAAAAATACCAATTATTCATCGATTAATTTAACTAAGAAAAATCAGATTTTCTTCGTTAAGAAAATCCGAAAATCCTAGATTAATTATTGGGAAATTTCGGCCCTTTCAAATAAATAGGAAAATATAATTTTTGCTTTATTAAAATATCGAAATATATATATATATATATATATATATAGAAAATACATCTTACAAATACGGGGTATTACATTTGGTGTGAGAGGTGCGCTAACAAGAGTGTAGGGGCAACGAGGTTATAGGGTTGGTGGCTGAAATGGCGAGGGGGTGCTGTAGTTGGTGGCTGTCGTTGCAATTGTGGCGAGAAGGTAGACAATGGAGCAGTGCAGGTTGGAATTGGTGGTGAGGGGATTAAGGGGTTGATGTTGGTGACGGTGTACAGGTGCGGTGTGGCTGGTTGGGTGGTTTCGGGGGTCGGGGGTAGGTTAGATGGGGTGCCCGACCGGTTTTGGTGATTAACGGGGGGTGGCCAACCGCTTACCGACGTGTTTATAGGTGGGTTAGGGTTTGGTGGCGGGGGAAGGTGGCTGATCACGGGTTAGGGTTAGGTTTTATTTATTTAATTTTATTTTGGACCAATCACGTGTTGACACGTGTCATGGTAACTTGTTATAATAGGTCATTGATTTTATGTTGACCGGTTGGGACTATTGGAGGGAAACACATAGCATAATTGGGATTATTAGATGATAAACCTTAGTTGAGATTATTAGAAGTAAATCGCCAATAGTCGGAATTATTAAAGTGTATTTTTCCTTTTTTATTTTTATTTTAATTTATATTATAAAAGTATACAATACATAGCCCTTAGTTAGGGCTACATATTTCCTCAAAAAAAAAAAAAAAAAAAAAAAAACAATTAGGGCTACATATAATGAGCCCTTTTTTTTAAAAAAAATAAATTAATATATAACATTAATTATTCTCCTATCAAATAAAAAAAAAAAACATTAACTATAATGGTTTGCGCGTGATTTTGTCATGCACTACTAAATTAATACCAAAAATTAAAAAAATGTATTAATAAATTAAACTAAACATGGGCAAATACTTACTTTTAACCCTACGAGATACATTATTGCAATCTTTCAAAAAGAAAAAAAAGATACATAATCGCAATGGTACGATACTTACTGCATGTGAACTTTGTCATGCATTCTTAAATTAACATGGAGTACCAAATTAAAAAGATTCTACGTATTATTTTTAGCCTTAAGAGCTACTGTTCTACGCGGTTCATCCTCTGGGCTAATTCGGATTCGGGATCAGTTTTGGATGGTTAGGTTCCAGTCCCCTCTCACTTGTTGTTGCGGAAGATCGAACACGCGGTCCTTCTTATCAAGTGCAGTCCCAATCACCATTGCACCTACAACCAATTAGTAGCTCCATATTAATCAATAATTATATACTAAAGGCGAAAATCTGAAATGACACTTGTCATTTCATGTCATGTTACAAATTTTTCCGCCTTTTTTCCCTTCCTTTTTTTTTTTTTTTTTTTTTTTTTTTTTGCCATTTTTTATGACATTCATTTTATAACCTACAATAATAGTTATTTCCATTTTGACAACATATTTAATCCAATTATACTCAATATTTTTGTACATATATTTTATATAATTAGAAACTTTTAGTTACAAAAATACTAACATAGATAACATAGATTAAAAATAAGGTATTGTAATATATTATATTCCAAGATTATATTATAATATTATCAATATCAATTTTTTTCTCCAACTTTTATCATTTGACAATAAAATTTATTTTAATTAAAAAAGAAAAATCATTTTGGTAGCATACTTTGTATAAATTTAAAAATTACATAACATTTATAAGAATAAAATCATTTTATTATAGTATACATAATATATATAGGAATATTCAAACTAGTTACTCTAAATATTTATGTGATTATTTAAAAAATAAAAACCTCTACTACTCACTAAAAATATATTTTAAAAAGCTGATTACGGAATACTAATTATCCTAAAGTAAAATAAAATCCGTTATATATTTTCATATTATGCCGGTCAAAGTGTGTTAACAATTTAAGGATAAATGTATATGAGTTTGTATATGGGTACTAACCTAAGCTAATATTTTAATTTTCTTATATATAACTACTTTATAGTTTCTAATTCTATTACTATATTATTTTTTTATACAATTCAATTCAATAACTTTTACATATTTGGTAATTGATATTGATATAAACTAAAATTCAAGTTATTTTGATACAAATAATTTTTTTGGGTAAGTTATTATTGAATTAACACCATTATTTATAATTTATTTGTAATAAAATTAAATTTAACTATAACCATACATGACACGGAAATTAATCTAGTATAATATCCATAAAATAAAAAAATAAAAAAAAAGGTACTCCGTACAAGAAATATTGCTCATAAAATCAAAACAACGGTGCCAAGCCCATTTTAAAAAAGAAACCCATTTAAAAGAAACGATTATATCTGACGGCCAGAAATGCCCTAATCTATTCGGATCTAAAAATGGTCTCACATTAAAACGGGTCAAACCTTTCAAATATATAGAGATCTTTACTTAAAACCCTAGAACCCTCTATTCTATATATCAGTCCCTCTCTCTCTTCCATTTCCCTTCAGCCGCTCTTGCTCTCCAACCATGAAGGTTTGTTCGTCATCCTCCTCCTTTACAATAATTTCTGGGTTTTTACTTGATTCTTTGAATTCCACAATTTTCTGGGGTTTTCTTATTCAATGTGTTTATTTCTGGGTTTTGATTTCTGTTGATTTATTATGTTTGATGTTTGCAGTTCAATATTGCTGACCCTACTACAGGGTGCCAGAAGAAGGTCGAGATCGATGATGACCAGAAACTGTGAGTTTTTTTTTTTATCAATGAAATTAAATTTTGATTATTTTTGTTAGGGTTTATGAGAAATATGATGTATGGTTTTATTCCTTATTTTTCACTTGTTTTTGAATTTTTATTTACATATATTTGAATCTGCCCATTTCTGTTTATTAGTGTGTAAAGGTTTGTATATAGTGTAAATCGTCTGTTATTAGACTTGATTATTAATAAATGTTAGGTAGTAATGTATTGATTAAATGACGATTATGTGTAAGATGTGAATTACTGTCTTCGAATATGATTTTTATTTTATTGTATGTTTTCCTGTATTTATAATTGGATTATATCGATTGTTTGAGTGATTGTGCTTAATTACTGATTAAACAGAAATGAGGGTATTCCTTTTTATGATGATTGAGTGGTTGAGCTACAAGGGTGTGTTTTGGAATCTAGATTGGGGTATGTTTAAGGAGAATGTAGATGTTTCATTAATCATTATGCAATAGATGATCCGGGTGAATGTGTTTAATTGTTTTGCCATGTTAGTTGCTTGTTAGTAGTTTTAAGGCAATCGTTAGCGTTGCTGGGGCGCTGTGCTCGTTGAGCAGATGGTGCTTTCAGCCCTTTGCGTTGCCGATACCTATTTGAGCTAACCAATGCTTGCGCTACTGCCCTTACTATTGATGGCTGCGTGCACTCAGGTTCTCGTATATGTCACATGAGTTTGCATTTCATTGGACTATATGTGGATTGATTTTCTCGTTTAATCCGTTGACATTGGGAGATCTTCTTTGAATTCATGTGTTGATGGCTTTTGTTGATAATTTCATAGAGTGAGATAGTTAAGATTTTGTGCATTTGATTTACTGGACTAAGCTTATGTACCTTTTGTTTTAAACAGCCGTGTTTTCTATGACAAGAGGATTTCACAAGAAGTCAATGGAGATGCCCTTGGAGATGTATGTATGCTTTTGCTTAATGCATTTATAAAGCTTTGAATGTTGCTGGAAGACTAATGTTTTGTTGCCATCCTTATTTGCAGGAGTTCAAAGGGTACGTGTTCAAGATCAAGGGAGGCTGTGACAAGCAAGGTTTCCCCATGAAGCAGGGTGTGTTGACTTCTGGAAGAGTTCGCCTATTGCTCCAGAGAGGTATGTTATAGTTTCATGCTTTTGTTCTCTTGCTAATTTGTTGAGTTGTGCGCAATTATAGTAGTAAAACTTGGTGTGTTTTCTATTTAATTAATTATTTATTTTTATTTTTTATTTTCATAATTCTCTTTGCTTGCAGGAACACCTTGCTTCCGTGGTCACGGAAGACGTAATGGAGAGCGTCGTAGAAAATCTGTCCGTGGGTGCATTGTGAGCCAGGACTTGTCTGTGTTGAACTTGGTTATTGTTAAGAAGGGTGAGAATGATCTCCCCGGTCTTACTGACACTGAAAAGCCTAGGATGAGGGGTCCCAAGAGGGCATCCAAGATCCGAAAGCTCTTCAACCTTTCCAAGGAGGATGATGTCCGCAAGTATGTCAACACATACCGTAGGGAATTCACTACCAAAAATGGTATGAACTAATTCTCTTTTTTAAGATGTATGATATAACCTGTGTTCTTTTACTCCAAAGTTGTCTAATATTTTCCTAATTGGATGTACAGGCAAGAAGGTGAGCAAGGCTCCTAAGATTCAGCGTCTTGTTACTCCATTGACCCTCCAAAGGAAGCGCCGAAGAATTGCTTTGAAGAAGAAGAGGATTGCCAAGTCCAAGTCTGATGCTGCTGAGTACCAAAAGCTCCTTGCTTCCAGGTTGAAGGAGCAGAGGGAGAGGAGAAGTGAAAGTTTGGCAAAGAGGAGGTCTAAGCTCTCTGCCGTTACCAAGCGACCATCTGAGGCTGCATAGTTTGATGCTTTCTCGTTTTGATTGAATCATTGATGTTGTCTTGAAGTAGTATTGTCATGAGATAATTTAATATGTTTCTCAAAATTTTGAGTTAGAGACCTGAGTAATATCTAGTTTCATCTTTTTGAATCAGGAGAGTAACATTCTTGTGGATGCTTGTTTTTTTTTTGTTTCAAAGTTGCTCAAATGCTTTGGGTTATTATTACATGTTTTCTTAGAAGTATATTACCTGTGTTTTTATTACACCAGGCATTATCTTTTCAACCAAGTTTGCCTGTGAATTTTTTCTTCCTTAAAAGTGTGTTCTACCTTGCCTTTGTCTTAATCTGTTTGAGTTTGTGTATTCTGCTCATTTTCTTTTAAAGGACGGATTTTGAGATGTATCGATTTTTAAGGAATCTAGTTTCTACGACTTGTGCTGGTGTAAATTAAAAATAACGACCATCTCCCCCTATCCCCTAAATTTTATTTATGTGCCGAATTTGAGTTAAATGGAACTGTAATTGCTGTTTCAAAAATCGATAATTAAAGCTAAAGCAATTAGTCCTTTGGGGGAGCCATTAGTCCATGGTGGGAATTTTAACTTTACTTCCCGTATCCTTCAATCCAAACAAAGTATTAGTAAAATAGGGGAATTACACTTGAATCAGCTAGTACACATCCACGGCTCAAGACCAAGTGTGAACAAGCTCCTGTAGACCTGTACCATTACTACCATACGACCAATAGAAAATTTCCTGATATGAGTTTAAAAACTAGTGTGAGCTTAGCAATTCCATTTATAAGATTGGAACTCAAGTATGTTACAAGCTTATAATGTTTGAATCTATGAATTTGTTAAAACTAGTGTGAACTTAGCAATTCCATTTATAAGATTGGAACTCAAGTATGTTACAAGCTTATAATGTTTGAATCTATGAATTTATTAAATTTAGGATCTTTGGTCATAATCCAAATTAAACTCTGGAAAAGGACAACTACAACATTTTAAAATTTAACAGTTAAAATTTTTATGAAACAAAGTTGTTTTTACACTTGTTTCAAAAAAAAAAAAAAAAAAAAAGTTGTTTTTACACAATTTTACAGGCAAGTGAAAAAATTTCTATTGCTGAAGAAAGGGAGTTACAAAGAATGGTATATAAAAATCTACAATTGGAAATACATTCATGAAAGATGAAAGTCACAGCACTGACTAAATAGGTCTGAGAATTGGAGACGAAGATTTTTTTTTTTTGAAAAAAAGGATGTTATCTTAATATCTTTGGTCACAGAACTAAGATAAATCCATACTCTCGTTCAGAATTCCCCAAACTTGTTCCTCAATATCTTCCCAAGAGTTGGCGTCCTTCAAGTCCTCCCATATGCTAAAAATAGCTCCCAGAATGTTATCCTCATGGAGTATACAGTAACACCTGTCAGCAAGCATTCAAATTACACGGTTCAGGCATAAAATTCTAAAATGCTCTGTACATCTCAAATTAGAAAGAGACGTGGAGTTCCCGCTTTAAATTAAAGAACTTGAGTTACCATAGATATCACTATGTTTAATTTACATTCCTGAAAATCCTACTGTATCATTTTCTGTAATAAAATCTTCGGACTTCTTTGTTAAGGCTGGCCTTAAGGGTGATATTAAAGCCTATTAAATTTCAACAGTGGCCTATATATTGGGTATGCCTAGACAGAATTGTGACCTTTTATCAAGGGCAGAAAGAGACAAAGAGAATGTATTACATTCAATTGAAACAGCAACCATATTACATTCCTGGAAATCCTACAGTAATGCCAACCTGAAATGTTTAAGTTTTTAAGGTGCGTGGCTCCATGTATGTGTTGACATGCAAGCAAAAATACACATTCAGATGCATGCATAGTAACAAAAACAAAAGAGTTCAATTGATTAAGCAATTCAGTCTGCATGACAGCATGAGTCACATAAGATTCTTTGTATAAAATAGCTATAACTCACATTGCACGATAAGAGGCCCGCTGAAACTTCATGACCTCTTTGGTCAGATTATTTTGAGAGCCCTTGTTGAAAAATGGAAGCTTATATCTGGATAGTAGCTGCTTAAGCAAGTGTGGATTTCCTTTAAATATATCTAGGTGAATAGGGATTAAGTCGAGAATAGGATCACCTGGAGATGGAAGCATGGGATAATTAGTACTGTTCAAGTGCTAGAATAAACTAGGAACATCAGATTATTAGTGAAGAGCCTCACCAACTGATAGATTGCTGAAGTCAAGAATGTGAGAAGCCTTCCATGACTCCACTTCTCCGTTTTTCATGCTTCCATTTCCAGATTGATTGTCAGAATGGTCAGATAAATGGATGCTACTTTGAGGCTCTAAATATAAGTTGTCATCCATGATGTCCGAATGTATCCAAGAACATGTTGCTCCCTGAAATATATCATTATTTCCTGATTTTGTATTTGTTAACGAGTACATTATGAAATACAAAGTACAGGATTACAACATGAAAATACTTTGTACTATCAATTTAGGGGTTCAGAATTGTACCTCAAATATAGAATGCAACTTCTTGATATCATTGGGAAGGTATCCAACAACTTTCTCAATGAGGCTATCTGGTATAGGGTTTCCCCTGCAAATAGCACGCCAATATAGTCAGGAACAATGTGGATCCAAGATTTACTAAGTATCCTAAATTTTATTAGACATTAGATGAGGTGCTCAAAGCAGAAACATCCCAAATGTTGCATAAATTTAATATTGTAAATGATACAGAAAGGTGTTTTAGTGCTTGTTCTGATTTACTTTGAGTCGTTGAGCATAATAAATTGAAAGTCACCGACTATTTTAATTCAACAGCAACAGCTTATCTCCTTTTTGTTCTTTTTCTAGTGGACAATGTAGCTGTGACAGTAAGCAGTAAAAACTACAGCAATAAAGCTCTGAATTCAGAGAAAGAAGTATATCAGGCTTCATCTAACCATATCTTCCTCAAGGAGAAAGGATGGAATGTTTGCATTGCTCAAGTCATATATGTCAAAGGTAAAAGTGTATGTTGGCTTAAAATTTTCAGGAGTTGTTATAGCCTTGAATTATTCTGGTTAACTTTAACTTTGGAACTCAAAAGAAGTTTGGTAAAAAACCTTGTAACAAATTTTCTATCAAAGCAGAGAACACATCATGACCCATGACTTTTCTCAAAAGTCATGGGTCATGATGTGTTCTCTGCTTTGATGGAAAATTGGCTATAAGATAAAAAAAACCAAACGTCATAGTAAGAACACAAAGGTTCCCAAGTCTCTTTCTTACTGTATGGTTTTCCCAATAGAGGAGGGAGGAGTTTTCAGGAAACATGAAGACAAAAGCTGTTGTAAAGAATGATACAGGCAGCATAGTAAGTAAAGCATGGCATAAAGAACTTTTATCAGCAACATAGAAGCTTTTCCAACATTTTTTATAAAGCAAGGAATTCAAAACACAACAAAAAGGGCATATAATATCTCAGATTACCATTTTTTCAAGTGGCTCACGACATCCTTTTTAATAAGGCTGTGGAGAAATATCTCCCAGACTGCAGCGTCATTAGAATCAAGAGAATCAATTTTCATAGAAGTAATACTGGGAGCCAAGCCAAGTTCCCTTCTAATATTTGCGAAATTTAAGTTATCATGCTGAGGAAGGGGCAATATATGAAGGTTATGTAGTTGCTCCCCTAAGAAAGAAGCCAAATCCAGCGCATTCTCCCAAGACAGTGAATCCTGTCTGCAGTAACCAAAGATAAATTCAGTCAGATAACTAACAATTTATTTATTTATTTATTTATTTTTTTATAGATGCTAAAAAGGAAAAGGAAAAAAAAACTGAATTATGCTTCCAAGGTCAACTTACAGCTCAGCAAATATTTTTCCTTTGCATCTTTTTGTCACAATGTAAGGCCAGATCTTTGTGTTTTCAGGTAGATTACTGATTTCAGAAGCATGGAGTCCTGCATTTTTGTAATCAAACAACTTTTTGCTCCATAAACCAAAAGAATTTCCATAACCATTGCAGTCCTCGATCATTGAAATGTTGTCAGCTATCACATTAGGCATTCCTTTACCATCCCAAGGTGCGATAGTGTAAGATCCATTGTCAAGAGAAATAAAACCACTGGCCAAGACATCAGGAACATGCTCCTTCAAAGGAGATTTCACTTGCAATAGTAGATTGTAAAACTCAAGCTGCATGTTAATTAAAGGTCAAACTGGTGGCCCCACTATCTTTGTTCTAAAGGTAAAGGAAAACATCCCTCTGGATATTAGAGAGTCAAACAATATACCTCAGTGCCCAAACTATAAACTGAAGATTCCAGCCCTCCTTCAACATAGATTTTAATTACATTCTCCGCAATCAAATAAACCTGTACAGAAACATTAGAGAGCAAAAACACTTCAGTTGACACCTTAGCACCTAATGTATCATAGTAAGGAGTCAAAATCTCTAAGACCACGAGACCAGTTTGTCAAAAAGCTAGAAAGAAATCAGGCAAAGAAGAAATCCAGAAATTGAAACCCCAACACTGAACTTGTCTTATTAAGAGAATTTGGTTTCAGCCAAACTTAACCTCTGAGCACCCAGTGATTCTAACACCAAAATAGTTTAGCATTATAACACCTGAACATGGGACCTCTCATTGTCTAATAATCTTATCTTTTCATGATTTGAGAGGGGAGTTGTGGGGAGAAAAATTTCGGTTAGCTACAACATGCAGAAACAAGGATCTACATAGTATCATAGTTATAACTTACAAAAAGAAAATACAGAAAGCTTAACTACCATTCTCTATCAGGTACATTGAAGGGTCTAATCCTCAAGATATAATACAGGAAACCAACATTCAATTAGCATAGCTCATTGTGACAAGGGACTTACAGGATTACTGCCTGTGCCGACAGGCAACTTTTCATCATTGCTAGGAGAAGACAAATTGTGATACTTGCAAACCTGCTCAATGCATTCTAACCATTCCCCTGCATTAATGGCAAGACATGCTCCCTGAACATATACAAAATTTTACAAATAAGCAGATTGTAGGAAATTGCCTCATTGCAATAATTGCGTAAATTGAATAGCATGCAATGAAGCTGTTGGGCAACATCATCACTAGCCCAGCTTACTAAAGCCCATGCAAAAGTGGATACTATACCTAAGAGGATATAGGCTTTAGATAGACTATTTCTGAAAATGCAATAAAATGACAAGAACTGAATGGGGAAGAATATATCGTTTACTAACAGAAGACAAAGGAAAATTTAACCAATAAACATGTTCTCATTAAGTCATCATAATTTGAGTGATTTGAAGTAAAGAATAAAGTCAGCTACCAGTGTACATCCAACATCCTGATGATCACTTAAGAAGCAAGGGAAACCCATCAAGATAATTTCACTTAATCATGCTAGTTTTCACACAAATATCATCCACTAGCCTTGTTGTCATAATATAAAGAGGGATAATAGGACAGACATGGGTTATAAATAGACACACCCACCTCATCCCTAATTGCGGGAAAAAAAAATGACAATAATCCAGCAGAATCAGAGATTTGGTAACCAATTTTTTTTTTTTTTTTTTTTTTTTTTTTTTTTTTTTAATTTTATTTATTTTTTAGTTTTTTAAAAACCCCTCTGTGGTGACTAATACATACCTTGCCCAAATATAGCCAACAAGACGCGCCTACTTCTCATAGAATTTTGAGTTAACTGACCTTTCCTTTTTAGCACAAACAGGATAATTTAAGAATGAAACTATGCCAGCTACAATTCAAATCCATTTCCTTGGTAAAGGGGTCCCCAGGGCGACTTTACTAGCCACATGCTTCTGAAGGATTCAACATCTGAAGCCATATGATGAAATTCATCCATCCATAAAAGAAAGTCTCATTGCATTATTAAAAATCCCAATGCATATGTTCTTCACAAAAACACACACAAACACACACACAGAAAAGTCCCAATGTATATGTCTGCTTAATAAAGCTTGTGTGCCATTTCTCACTTTCAAAACACTCTTCCTAATCAATTACTCCCAAACCCTAAAAATGTCTTATTTCATTACCATACCTAATGTACCTAGTATATATGGAAGATAAGTTTTTATAGGTCCCAACTACCAAACAAAGTGGACAAGTCAAACAACATACATTATAAAAGCAAAGTTGCCTTAAACTTTGTTAAATATAGAGGAGTCCCTTTTTGAGACAGAAATATTTGAGAGCCTGGAATAGCAGTTGCATTACATAAACTCATGTCACAGCCAGGAAAAGCACTTGCATTACAATATCTACAGACAGCATAGCAGACATCCATAGTTATACATGCATGAATAGTGTTCATATAAGTAAATCATCAGAAAATGCTGTAGTATATTACTGAGTTATATTAAATAAATGAATAATGTATCCTTAGTTACGTTTCTCCTCAGAATCATGATATGTGCTGCTGGAAATTATTGCCATACTCAAGGCATTGGAGCATTGATATTAAATCTACAGAAGGGAGAAGTTATAGCAATGAGAGGAAAACATACCTTCCATATCAAGTCTCTCATTCCTGGTTTTCCTATCCAAAGCCTCCATAACCATTCTCTCATCTCTCTCTGTCCGATGCAGTTGGAAGAGCTCCACATAGAGTTGTAATGATCCCGATGCTCATCCAAAAACTTTGATAAGAAATTAATATCATATGGAAGGTCATTATTCCAGACATTACAACAATTAGCAGCAGCAGCATTGCTAGCACTATCATAGCACACATGGTCTGATCTGATTCGTTTTTCTTTCCTAAGCACATCTCTTGGACTCGAACAATTTCTAGCAAAGGATGTAACCTCATCCATATCCTCAAATTTTCCATCAACAAGAGCAAGAAATCCAGCACGGCAAACCCCTTTATGACGGAATCCTGGAGCCAAATCCAGACATACATACTCAAAATTTGTGGAGTTAACAAAATTTTGTGTAACTGCAACAGTGGGCTCCAGATTCAGCACACAATGCCACCAACCACTTGGGACAAATATTGTTTCACCAGGCAATTGAGTACACTCCAAAGGCTTGTCTTCATCAGGAAGGAGTGGATAAAATTCAAGCCACCACTACTAAGACAAAATCAAAACTAAATAAATACATAAAGGTGACTGGTAGAACCAGCAATTACATGAATTGACACTAGTACAAGTTAGCATCAGTTTACCTGTAAAGATGATGGGGTCTCAATATTCACATCACCATCCTCTTCATTTACATGCACAGTAACACCTAAAGGTACTTTACCTGGAGGATACAGTGCCCACCTATTGTGACAGAAATTTTAGGGTCAGCAATCAAGCCTTAAAAAGGGAACGTTTACTTATCTTCATTTTCCATTAAATTAAAAAAAAAAATTAAAAAAAAAAAAAAAATCTGTCATTTTTTAATTGAAAGCTTTACTATTATACCGATAGGCTACAGCTTTATTATACCTATAAGAATGTCAAGATTGTCAACCATAAGCAAATAAAAATATGTCAAAAGAATTCATCTCCCCCTCACATACGATTGTTGAGCTGAAGAATATGACAATCAATAAGCAAGAACCAAGAGGGAAAAGTGCAGAGAGAAGAGTTTAAAACAACTTCTAATTTAGGTAATATCCCCTGAATGACCATAATACCATGTACTTCTTGGAAAGTTTTAACAAGAGCAACTACACAAGTAATCACCTCATAGAATATGAACAGCTTGATCACTTTCCAGAACCCAAACTTTCATTAACCTTTGTACTCTTTGCTTGGCTATTCCTTCAAGGGGTTGTATTGTGATGCCACCAAGCTACCCCAGGCCTCAGATTAGCCTTACCTATGCTAGGAGACTTAATAAGAACAACTTGGAGAATATACCTTAGTGACATCAGCAAATCAGTTAAGGCCTTGGGGAAGAGGCTGAGTGTGGCAGAGGGTTGTAGAGTGAGAAAGTGATGTAAGAGGTCAAAAGGTGGATAAATAAGTTGCTTTAGTTCCATTAATACAATCCTTCCCCCGGTTTCCTTTTTTTCTTCTCATAATTTCAAGTTTAAATCCATTCATAATTAGCATCTATACCGGGTTGTAATGTTCAGCAGAACTAATAAATATTATTGCCAACTAATGACATTTTCAGAATTTCATGAAAGAATTCAAAATAAGTTGAAGCAGAAATAATTTGTCAGAAAAATATAAACGGTGGCTGAATTTAACATACTTCCGAGGCTCACAACTGTATACTTTACACTCCAGGATATATTGGCAGCTGAGAGCCTCAGAGTGATTTTAACTGCTACGGATTTTTTTATTTTTTTCTTTTTTCTCTTTTTTTGGGAAATATGGTAAGAAGGAAAATTTAATTACTCATCCAGCCATTCAGCAAGAAGTGCTAATCAACCAAACACAGCAAAAAAAATTAATACTACAGTCAACACAATACAAAACACAGCATAAAGGCAAAAATTCAATTATTCTCTTATCCACCAAGCTTTTCAGTGATAAATAGAACACTTATTTTATAAAACTAAATCCCAAACTTTCTATCCTTCATTTCAGAATTAAATGTAAAATCCTTGAAATCAATAATATCTGTAATGTGATGCTATTTAATACTCCGTACCAGATTCAAAGTCTTTCAACTTTTCAAGTGATAAAGCACTCTAATCATTTATCTTTTGCTTGATACATAACTTGAAATCAGACTTCGATTATTTTCATGAATTTTGTTACATTTTATTCTTACATATTGTCTGTCACAAGTACAATCACTATCATCATTCACTAACTAGTATTACTGCTTTCCCTTACCAATTTCTAATTTTACAAATATGTCTTCTCTAATATTCTTTCAAAAATTCTCTAATAATCTTTCAAAAGAAAACTCTTATTGGATCCATCACGGAATACATGCATACAATATGACCATTTAAGACCATAATAGTTGTAGGATAATGAGTACTGACAAGGTGTTGCTGATGTAAGTTTAAAAAAATAAAAAATCAAATTTCCACTTTTTTCTTAATTACGGAGATTTCTTTAGCTTCGCTTCTTGATTGTCTTGCCAAGTTAACAAGGGTAGAAGTAAGATATTGCCATCCTCCACCCTCAAAAAAGTAACCAGGGACAGTCATTGCTGCTAGAAATTTAATATCCTCAGCATAAATAGATAAGAGATAATAAGGAGATGACATCAGAAGCACACTTGCAGCTCTGGTTAGAAGAGTTTTGGAAGATTTAGCACCATTGAAAGTCTGAAAGCCGCAGACACTATCAGTATTAAGGAGATATAACTGCATTCTACCAAGCTACTTATGATAACTATAATTTTTAAATTTCCTGTCAGATCCCTCAACAATATGGTCTCCATACAAAGGATGCATGTTAGCTGAGGATCCCCATCCAAAGGACACATGTTAACTGAGCTTAAATTCCACAAAAGCATTTCTAACATGCAGAGGCCTACACAGACTTCTATTCATCAACATCCACTTAATACAAATCCTCCTGTAGGAATGGCATGGTTATAATAAGTGGTACATGATAGAGGGACAAATGGACAATGGCTTGTTATGGATGCTATAATAAGAAATCATCTAGTGGGATTAAGAAGAGATTATTGGCCTGTAACATGCATGTATACAAAAACTATAAGCTATTGTTAGCTAGTAGCTTATTACTGACAAAGGCACAACTTCCATTTTGATGATAAACTGGCTGTTTGGGACAGGCCCAAGAAATGTAAAGAGGTGGCCAAATAAATTTTCATGTAAGCAACAGAAATTCTCAACGCCATAAATTCAGTAATAAATTTGATTTAGTGATGCTAATGTTAGTAACCACTAGTGAACAAAATTAAACACAAGCTTCACCTTTTACGCCCACATAGAAGAGTGTTCCAAGCACTAGTAAGAGCTGGATCCACATGCCAGGAAGCTCCAGACCTCTCTGGTCCTATGATGAGCCATCTATATGGTGGACGTTGATCTGGGTTCAGAACATTAAATAAGTCCTCTTGAAAAAGATGAGGCACAGCATACTCCTTCAGAAGACCTGGTGCCACTTCTCCAAACTGCAAGCAACATATGTTTAAGTTTTCAACTAGAATACTAGATAAATAAAACTTCAGCCATGTAAGAATAGTTGTGATTGCACCTTTTCATCAAATATATATAGAGGATCCTCATCACGCTGAAGTTTCATGTAGGAGACATAATCCTTAAATTTCATCTTAATTTTCCGAGGACTCCGTTGAGAAATTTTGAAAGTTGTATCCCCATAATCGAGCAATAGTTGGTCTAAAGTCCATTCCTCTCTTGCTGGCCAGGAATCAGCTAAACCAGCAATCAAAACCTGTGTGTAGCAGTCAATAGTCAGATAAGTAGTATGGAAATTCTCGTATTTTCAGGCAGAGCATCAGTCAAAGCCAACATACAAATCATTCAGTTAATTGTAGCTATTTATGAGCTGTGTAACAGAAGGACCCACAATCAAAGAGTTTGCATCTTGTTCAGAGTGGTGAATTGATGAAGAAAAGGTGGATAAAGGAGTTGGGGAAGGGAGGGTGGGGTTATTATTTTACTCTTTTTTTTTTCTTTTTCCAATTGAAGTATTTTTCCCACTAAACTTGCTGTGATGTTACAATTCCTGTAACAGCCAGATACAAGTCAAACATACCGGCTTCTTTCCATCATACTTGTTTTGGAAGTCCTCCATAGAAAGATTGTTTTTCCTCTCCACATTTCCATTATCCACAGAAAAACCGCCCAGTGAGGTATAGCACCGATACCACCTCTTGTACAAGAACAATGAGTAAAATCCTGCGTTGATATAGATGAAAGCTTAGCCAACGAGAACATAGCAGAAGTGATTTATCAACCTCAATCATTCATATCATCCTATAATGAAACTCTTGATTGACACCAGGAATCCAATATGAGGAAACATTACCTTCAAAATGCAAGCGCTTCCTTAGAGGTGCTTCATTTCCATGTGCAGTATTTCTATAATTAACATTCATAAGATGCAAAATTCATTGGAAAATAGTTCAAAATACACAAGCATTTTAATCAAGAGACTTGTCTTGTAAAACATACAGTTGAAGTGTCGTGTTCTTCCATGAACCTTTATATTCAAGGAGACCACTTGCAGTTTTCAAGCATAGGCTCATCCAGAGAGGCTCTTCATTGCAGAATATGTACATTACACTGCATATAATATTAAGAAGAAAATGGCTTCATAAGAATAAATATTAAGAAACCATGCACAAAAACATGGGGAACACTTCGAAATAATGCATTAACTTCTCAGAATTCCAGTAATTCTTTATCCTCTAGAGCTATGTAAAGTTTTAAGATACAACATGTGGGACTAACAGCTAGACCCACAAACAAACACAAGTCCTTCAAAAGCGATTTGCCTCATGCATGTGCATACTAGAATACCTTCTCAAGAGATGCCCGTCCAAAGACACAAGTCTAAAACCACTGTTAGCTAATCATCTCCCCCTACCTTCACAAAGCACTATCTAGAATACCCAAATTAGTGTGTGGTACAAAATGTAAATTCATTTGTGAGCTACTTCCTCCGTTCTAGAATACGCAATTTAGAGTTTTTCTTACTACTCACATACTTTGACTATAGCTTTTTAATATTGTATGAATGGCAATTATTGTCATATAAAATGTTTTAAATAGGTTGTAGTGTGAAGTTTCATAACATTAACTTTTTATATAATTTTTTTTTTTAAATATTTTATTATATATAGTAAACTCAAACATTAGCATATGTACCGTGTTTGACTGCGTTAGTACTTTAATTAAAATCAGTAGCAAATTACTTCATCCAACTACCATAAAAGTACCAGATTTCATGCAGCATTGATTCCAATTTTCTAATTTCCAACCCAAAATTTAAAAATAAACTATCTCAGCCAGTGGACACTTGAAAAAAAAAGTACATCTCCTTGGTAATAGTACCATCAAATCTATTTAAACACTCTTAACTACACTTTAGATATTAACCAATCTCCAATACTTGAAAAAAATAATTTAAACCCTGTTACTCTATTAGAACCCAACATTGAGTCAACATGTCCCAAAATTTAACGAAGTTGATTCACTTATAGTGTATTTGAAAAATGAATTGCAATTCATACATGAGTCATATCCTTTATCCCTTCACAACCATATATAAGATCTCTTCCACCATTTATCCATAAACCTTTGCTGATATTCATTACAACATCATTACCACCCCAATGCCTCTTAAGAGACCCTCGTGTCAGATAGGGTAGCGGAAGACGAATGTATGCAATTGTACCATGAAATAATAAAAAGTTAAATTTTAGTAACACATAACCAGAAACATCTCTTATTTCACTAATAACTATTTGTATAAGCCTTAAGCTGATATACAATGACCATCTCCTACTTCTCAATAAATAAGAAGTGTAAGTATTTTGATGAGCCAATAATGTAGCCCATCATCATCCAATTCAAAGCACTAATTAATCTTTGCCTGTACCCCTCTATAGTCTATATACTATACTCCCTACGTTCTAATTTTCAACTTTGTACTCTCCATTTAGGCGTATTTCTCTTAAATAATTAAACGTATGAGATGCAGCATATAGAATTAATGCATGCATCATACAAAGTAGAAAACCCTATGACATCCACACCAGCTCACAAGTCCTTAAAGTTGATTCCCTCCATGTGATCACATTGTTCCAACCTCTCGTAACTAAAACTATGATATGAATTGCAAAAAAAGACTTCGGAATTCTTTCCTTCCCCCATCACTTAATTCGAATAGTCGCATAGTGAGGAAATCAAATCATAAACCATCACTACATAGCATAGCAAAGGTGACAACTTTTTACGGACATCCTATTTAAGTATAGGACAAACTTTGGAGTCGTTAATTGTTAATAATAACCGAATTCGAATCCAATAAAATTTCCAATGTCAATTCAATCATAATATGACGAAATTACTAGTATTCAAATGCATGAGATCATGTCCACACCACAGATTTAATATTTACTACTTGTACATTGTAGCTAAATAAACACAAAAACAGACAATCAATCAAAATTACAAATTAAAACAAACAAAACTGACAAGAACACATCAATTAAAAAATTTGTAACATTTCAACTTCAAATTCATCCATTATAAAAACAGATTTAAAATTTTCATAATCTCATCAAATAATCAAATTAAAATACCTGCTAACACAAGAAAGACGAGCAACATCTTGAAGAGAGAGAAAACTGATAATTTCAGAAATAACTTCATCTGGTAAAACTCTAAGATTACCCAGTGCTTCTACTCTTCGATCAATTTTCATCACCATTTCTCCTCCACCTCCATCAATTTCCATTTTTTATTTTTTATTTTGAATTATAGAAGGATCAAATTTAAGAACAACAAATTTTAATCGAATGTAAAATTTAACGAAAATTGGAATTGAATTTGCGGGATGATTCGAAGAAGAGCGGTTGAAAATGGGAATAAAAGCATTGACGAGCTGACGATGTAAAGAGTTGTGGGTTGCGTGGATGTTATGCGGGGCCTTGTTTTCTTCTCCGTGTTACTTCGTCTATTTACGCGTCTGTTTGTATGAAACTCTCCTTTGATGTTGGGCTTTTTGATATTGGGCCTTTAAATTTGGGCCTTTTGGGTAGTGCTCTTTTTATTGGGCTGGGCCGGAAATATATCTCGTATAAATCGAGGATGTAGCTTAATGGTTTTTTTTTTTTTTTTTTTTTAAATAAAAAAACAAGGCATTATCATTAACTAACTCAAGGACTCGGAGTCCATAATTGCACATGGGGAAATCTCACAGGGAACATGATTTATCCAATGTTGCTCATCACCAAAAGGAATAAGCCTAGCTAAATGTTGCTTACTGGTTGAACGAGGATGTCAAAAAACTTGAGATTTTACCCTTGTGTGTGATGGTTAATTATTTATATTTTCATCTTTATATAGTGGTTTACATTTGATTATAGGGGAGATAAGTGATTTAAAGATCTCTACTACATGAGGTTTTTTTTTTTATTTTATTTTTATTAAAGATGACCTGTTTGGCTATTAATGTTCTACTTGTATATTTTATCAAAATAAATCTAAGAAAATCATCTATAAATATATTTTTCGTTGAATATAAATTATAAACGAGGATTAAAGTAGAGTTTGTAAGTAATAATTAGTGCTAAAAGTCAAATGCAAACTTTTATTAATTAAAATAATAGATTAATACTTGTACTCTAGTAAATAATAAACTTAAGAATAAGAGTTAATCCTTACATAAAACTTGCATATAGGCTCAGGACTACATTTTTTTTGTTGAAAAGCCTGCTTATACTATAATAACTATTAATCTTGTTGTAAAATAAGTGTTTCAAAGGCTACAAAAATATAAGAATAATGTGCTTGTTTGATCGAAGGAAAATGGTGTATCGTGACGTTTCGTCACTTAATTTGAAAACGAATTCCGGCGCAACCAGGGTGCACATTGTATCGTCGGAAACGTTATCTAAGGTTATACATCACTCTCACTCAAAGGCACTTTTAGGTGAGAGGTGGAGCCGAATGCGTTTAGCTCTTTGTATTTTGTGTATGATGTATATATGTGTATATCTATGTATTTGTGAAAAAATTCCAAACAATATATAAACTATACAAGGAAGATAAAAGGCAAATGTAACCACTCTCCAACAAGTGAATTAATCAGAATAAAGATGAAGATTAATCACCATAAACAACCACTGCACATAATTGAAGGGAGTTACAAGGAGGTTACAAAGAAAGAGGAGAAAGCCAAAAGACATGTTGTTGAATGAATCTAGACATGAAAAAGTCTAATCCACAACCCACCTGTGGGAAAACATGGTAGGCCACAACCTACTTGTGAAGCAAACTAATCAAGCTCTATAAAGACCACAAACCAACTAAAAAAAATGACTTTTACACTCTTTACTCCAACAATCCCCCACTAAAGGGAGGAAAAATAAAATACAAAGAGCTAAACACATTCTTCTTCTTTTGGGCATAAATTTATATGGCTCCACCTCTCACCCAAAAGTGTCTTTGAGTGAGAGTGGTATGTAACCTTAGAAAACGTACCGGCGATACAACGTTCACCCCGGTTGTGCCGGAATTCGTTTTCAAATTCAGTGACGAAATGTCACGCCACACCATTTTTCCTTTGATTAAACAAACACATTATTGTTATATTTTTGTAGCCTTTATTTTCATTTAATTATTGTTATATACCTTCAATTTCGTATTTGTAAAAATTATAAAAATAAGATATTTGAAAATAAAATACGAGTCTAAAAAAACTCTATTTGAAAATATATTTTTGTTATTATTATGCATCAACATAATTAAGGTCAAAGTCCATTAAATCAAACAATTAAATTAGACCAAATCACATCAAAAAAATTAAATTTAGACTTTAGAAAATTCAAACTATGACATATTTAATTCACAACTATAAATCTACCATAACTTCAATTACCTACCAATCATTAAAGTGGATAATTCTATTCCTTAACGCTATGTTTGGATAATAATAGTGAAGGGGAATGGAGGTGAAGGAAAAAGAGGGAAGGAAAAGGGAGGTGAGGTGAGGGGAGGGAGAAGGTCACCTTCCAATTTCCTTCCAAATTTTTCAAATGACGGAGGAATTTGATTTATTAATAAGGAAGGAAAATAAATCCTTCCAATTTCCTCCTTTTAATAGGTATCCAAATAAAGGTGATACATCCTTTTTATTCTCTTCTGGTTCTGCCTTTGAACCAGATAATGGCAGAACTGGATCATATGTGATTTACCCAAATGCCTTTGTTGTTGCAATGATTAAAAAACACCACATACCCGAAAAAATAGTATAATTTCCACTAATTCACTAATGCTTAATGCCCAGAGTACTTTTTATTTTTGAAACCATAATATCCAGAGTACTTTGTATAATTGTATGTAGTTCACTCGGTTGCAAAAGTATAGCCGAGCCGAGCCGAGCCAACAAGAATTAGAATTCATGGGTTAAAACATAAAAGTCCTCTAAAGTCTAAAGTTTAAACTACCAACTTATTAAGTATTCGTATATTCTATTTTAAAGCAGGTCCTTCAAGGCAGGACAACAAATTCATTCATTATTCATATTATCATACACCAACCAAAATGTCATCATGATCAATCGCCATTTTTGACCAAGCTCCTTCTTACTCACTCTGCACTCAAAAATAACATGTCATGGTCAACTGTTTAGGTATTATCTGGCCAACAATCATGATTATAGTATAGTTTACTTATTTTAATTAATCATACTATCATAAGACGAAGTATTATTTTAACAATACAAATTTTGTAAATAAGTAGTCACATTTTATTGTCAATTGTCATGGTCTCAAACACCAGAATACTCGATTTTTGGTATTCAACGGTATACACATACAGTACACAAAATACACTTCTAAAAGAATCCGGTACTTAAGCATGTATTGTTATAAATATTCGTACAATAACTAAACAACACTTTTGACACACCAAAAAGAAGTAAAAAAGAAGGGGATTCTGTTTAGGAAGTAAGAGATGCTTGGGTCTTCATCCTCCTATTCCTTAGACGGTCTGCAATGATGAAAGCAAGCTCCAGAGATTGGGAGGCGTTCAGCCTGGGGTCACAGTGTGTGTGGTAGCGTGAGCTCAGATCATCAAAGGTCACAGTTTCGGCCCCACCAATGCACTCGGTCACATTTTGTCCTGTCATCTCTAGGTGAACTCCACCTGGGTGGCTTCCTTCTTGCTCGTGGACATCAAAGAAGGCTTTGACTTCGGACTGTCAAATAAGAGAAAAGGAACAACAATGTAAGCACGTTGGCATGTTGCAAGGGAAACAAAATTAAAGATGCCACAAGTTGACAAGTATAATCCAATCCACGCAATAAATCAAATGTCCACCCACCAAAGTTAAAAGTATCTAATTTAAAATATCAAGCCAACATGTTAAATCATATTACTAATCATGAAAGTATAAGAGACCATCAAGCTACACCCTCTAGCATCTTCCCACCTACCACACCCTACCTACCAAAACTTACAAATAAGCATCCACAAGAGTGGAAGAATTATGTGTGGGAAGTAATTAGTTTGTTCTAGCAACTACAAAGTTCCAGCCAAATACCGGAGCCCCAATAACTGGGAGATACGGCTTTTGCCTTGTGATCAAATGCTTGTGTGTGCATCACAATAATTGTAGCGATTCTTGATTCTTACGATTCAAGCAAGCATTGATTAGATTCCAAATTGCCAACTATAGCTTTAGAGGGACCATAAATGGTAATTTGATAAGTATTGGTTATAATTGATATTTTCACCATATACATTGTAATAAGATGACTTTACTACAAGATCTAAAAGCAATAAGCAATATACATAAGCATGTAAAAAGTGGCCCCTCGTACAAAAATATCTTGCCTACCATAACAAATGACTCAAATTTATTTTTTCCCCAAGTACATTGAGTTAATACGAATGTGGTCAGTTGTCTTTTTGGCATCATACTTCCCAAATCCAACCCCATATTCCTTTGAAACCCACACCCTACTGGTAAACTGCATCAATAATTTGACCAAACACCCAAATCTAGCATCTAATTGAATGTGGTGAACTATGACTTTGTAAGCATTGTAACACGCATTTAACAAAATCAGGACAATATTAAATGCCATTGCATAATATTAGCAACATACCCGAATAGCATCAAAAGGCCTAGTTTTCAGACCACAAGGAGCTTTAATGGTATTTCCGTGCATAGGATCACTGACCCAAGTCACGATTTGACCTGCCCTACGGACAGCTCTAATCAGATGAGGAAGCTTCACTCTCATGTTCTCAGCTCCCATTCTAGTGATTATAGTGATTCTCCCTGGCTTGTTGTCAGGATTCATTATGTTGATGAGCTTGGTGAGCTCATTTGGATCCATCTTGTCACTCACCTGTACCACCGACAAATATTCATGTTGAGCCACATTAGTTCAATTAATTGCATTAGCTGCTAAAATCTGACTTTTACATGTAATCAAATAACAGTAGGGAAAAAAAAAAAGGGGGCTTGAAATGGATAATGCATGCTTCAGTTACCTTAATTCCAAGGGGATTGGCAATTCCTCTAAGGAACTCAACATGAGCACCATCAAGCTGCCTAGTACGTTCTCCAACCCAAAGCATGTGAGCTGAGCAATCGTAGTAGCGCCCAGAAGTTGAATCTAACCTTGTGAGAGATTGTTCATATGGCAACAACAAACATTCATGGGAAGTCCAGAATTCAGTAGCTTGCATTACAGAATGGTCAAGTGTAAGCCCGGCAGCAGCCATGAATCCAAGGGCCTCATCAACTCTGTGAGCTAATTCCTGGTACCTGGAATCGTTTAACATGGTACTATGTCAAATTCTGATTAAAAATTTCAAAAATTGCACATGGCTGAGGCTGACACAATCAATTAACGGTAAAAGCCCTAATCAACAATTTCATTACTCAGGTGTGCAATTTTCATAAATTGTCAACATCATAAACCAAGCAAAAAGGCAACATTTAGCAAATTCATACAAAAGTTTTGGGAACAAGTGGAGTAAATTGAGGTCACCAGCTAAATACATTCATCCCAAAGTTAAGAGGCCCAACCAAAGGCAAAAATGCCAATAAGACGTTGGGTCAAAAGCAACATATACTAGTAAATGGCTAAGGTAGCAAAGAACTACACTTTCAAATAAATACCATCACACAATCCAAGCAGAAAAGATCTGCATCATAAGAAGAGAATCTGACAAATTACAGTTACATGACCTTATTTGACAAAAAACCAAATCTTTATATACCAGATACATGAGCAATTCTAATACCTATATTTAAGAGCATCCAACTTGGTGCCCACTCAAAAGCTGAAGGGTCAAGAAATATGATGGTGCATCTAAGGCAGCAAATTGAATTCACGCGCATTTAAAATTGAATGGAAATCAATGCCACTATACTGTCCCCAGTTATCAAGCCCCATAACAGAATGAAGACATGAATTAATCCCCAAATAGGAAAAATCAACTGCCTCAGGCCCTCATCCTAGTATATTTCACCAAGAACTTCCTTTTAATCAAGGACAAATAATGGAATATAATTCATTGACCTTAAAGTTGACAATGATAGGGAAGAAAAAAAAAAAAACTCAGCCCAAAACAAGATCCCAAAACACCCCAAGACGTGTCGATAACAGCGAAAAACACCCACATCAATAAAATCTCAACCCTATAGATTGATTCAGTATCCCTTCAATGGTCCAATTCCAACTATGACCAATTCAACCACGAAATTTTCTGAATTCTATTGTATAATCGCGTGTACCATACGTAGGGAGGTACAATTACAAACTGATTGTACCACAAACCTATTGAATAATCCCTCCATCCTAATTTGCAATATGCGAAATCCAATGAATTCTACTATTGTTCCAATTAAGGATCCCCTTACTATTCTCAACAAAATAAGAGTTAAACATGTAACAAGCAACACAAAAGAACAAACTTACAAGTATCTAACTATTAACAGTTACTATAAAGGGTTAGAAAAAAAGTCAACAAGACATGATATGAGAAAATCAAAGTAAAACATACTTATCAGCCTGTTCACTGTGCTCAGCAAATCCCAAATTCCACTGAGTAACCCTTTGCATAGCAGCATAACCACCAGTTGCAAAAGCCCTCAACAAGTTAAGAGTAGCAGCCGACTGGCAGTAAGCCCTGATCATCCTTTGTGGATCGGGAATCCTCGATTTCTCGTCGAATGTATCTCCATTGATATTATCCCCTCTGTAACTCGGCAATTTTACTCCATCCCTAACCTCGAAACCGTCTGATCTCGGCTTGGCGAATTGGCCAGCCATTCTCCCCACCTAATATTAATGAGTTATGTCAATACTAATTGAATTTACCAAAACAATCAAAGAAAATTAAGTAAGTAACTAAGTTACTAACCTTGACGACGGGCATCTGACCACCGTACATGAGAACAGCACCCATCTGAAGAAGAACACGGAAGGTGTCACGAATATTGTTAGCGTTGAACTCTTTGAAACTCTCAGCGCAATCGCCGCCCATAAGAAGGAAGGCATTGCCGAGAGCAGCATCAGTGAGACGCTCTTCAAGGATACGAGCTTCTCCGGCGAAGACAATTGGGGGGAAATCTTCGATAGTTTTAAGAACATTCTCGAGTTCTTTCTGATCTGGGTATTCAGGCAACTGCAATGCCTTCTTGGACCTCCAACTATCAACGGTCCATTTCTGGGTCTTCGCCGGAGTAGTGGAGGGGATAGTGGTGGTTGATGCGGCGGCGGAAGGGATGGTGGGTTTGGCGGAGGTAATGGGGGTGTTTTTATCGGAGGATTGGACGGCGGAGATGTGGCGGGGTTTGCGGGGGAGGAGAGAGAAAGTGGCGGTGTTTGCGGCGGCGGAGGAGGAGGAAGGTAAGAAGGAGGTTTTGGTAGGAAGAATGGTGTTGGTAGAAAGAGCCATTGTTGTTGAATTTGATTGGAGTGTTAATGGGGTTGTTGTTGTTGTTCTGCCGCCGAAGTTGGAGAGAGAAAGACGGGGTTTTGAGTTGAGGAGAGAGAGAGGAGAGAGAGGGGGTTTTATAAGGTGGGGGAAGAGGGGGTAGTTGGAGAAGTGTTGGTGTTAGGAACGGAGATGGGACAGGTAAGGAAAGAGAAGAAGTGGGACAAAATAAATCAATTTTTAAGTCGGAACTAGGTTTTAGACTCGGGTGATGTCCTGAGTTAATATTCCGTAAAAATTACTTACAAATTTATCGAAGTATTCCCTCCATTTCTTTATTAAGAGCCTGTATTTCTTTTTTTGGGAGTCCAAAATTAAGAACTTATTTCTATTTTAAGGTTATAGTATTTAGGAATATTCACCATTTTTTTATGAGTTGTCAATTATGATTTTTTACATCAATTTTCAACGTTTTTTCTCTCTCTCTCTTCAATTATTCGTACCACTTTTTTTTTCTCTCTATCTCTCTCCATCCTCACATGCACTTATGTACTTCCACCAACTTTCTTAATTCCTGTGAAAAAACCCAAATAGATTCTTAATTAAGAGACAGGGGAATATAAAAAGGGGAGGGTTTTTTTTTTCCTTACGGAAACTACAAAAGATAATGTGAGTGGTTAAACATTAATAAAAATAAAATTATCTTATAATTTTAAAGATTGTATCTAATTCAATATTGAACGAATAAATAAAAATCACAAAAATATAAATCTAAGATTGAAAAAGAGTATTATAATTTAATTTAAAATTAAAAAATTCAATTACCAAGCAAAAGCAATAAAATATGAGAGAAAAGAGGTTTAAGTTTATTTTATACGGAGTAGTAATATATTCAAGTTATAATCATCACTGTTTTAAAATTAATTCAAAAATAAAATCTAATATTAATAAATAAAACTTTAATTTTCTTATTAAAATTTTTATCTAAACATCTATTGAATAGGAAAAAAAAATTACAATTTATATTACAGTAATACAAAATGAAATGTTCACCAGAATATGACAAAATATATTTTTTATCAATTTTGAAATAACTAACAAAATAACAATTATTTTTTTCCAATAGAAATTTTAGCGAAAAATCTATGTTTAAATGTCATAGATATTAAAAGATTACAATAATTATACTTCCTTCATTTTTTAGTAGCATCACTTTTGTAATTGTAAACTCCTACGCAATTTTTGGAATTGAAAGCTAGAGATAGAGAGAAAAAATAAAGAGGGCTCATGTGATAAGAAAGAGATAGATAGATTTCATTAGTTGAGAGGGAAAGTGATGCATCTAAGGCTCTATTTGGTTTGATGTAAAACATTTTCAATGAAAAAATAGTTTTCATGGAAACCATATTTTCAAGTAAACGCACAATTGCAAATTAGTTTTCCTTTGTATGGTTGCATTACAAGGAAAGTCAAAGAAAAAAAAAAGAAGAAAAATAGGAGTGAGAATGTGAGGATGGATGAGAAAAGTAAAAAAGAAGGTAAGGAGGAGGGAGGAAAATGTGGCTTCACTTGTTTTGTGAAGGAAAATGTTTTCCACTATTAAGGTTGCAACTTTCCACCATTGGGAAACTTGTTTTCCACTCCTTCAAAAACCAAACAAAGGAAAACGAAAAATTTGTTTTCCATGAAAACATTTTACATCAAACCAAACAAGACCTAAATTGAAACTTCTATTTTTAGAAAGTAATGGATTTAATAAAAAATAGAGGAAGTACAAAATATTATATAAAAATCATGCATTACACGAATTTCATCTAGTTAAGAAGTAAATTCAAATATGTAACTTATTGTATAGATGCCCTTAATCTTCATGGTGTCACCACTAGATCAAGACTAGAGCTATTTATGGGTTAGACGGCCCATTAAGCCAGCCTAATTCGGCCCGCCAACGAATAGGCTTGGACAACAATTTAAAAAATGAATATTTTGGCGGACTAAGCCTAAACCGTTAATGTCAATGGACGGGTATGGACAAGATAATATAAGCTACGGGCCTGCCCGCGTAGCAAGTTTATAAAAAAAATCAATATATTTTTAGTTAGTTTATTCTACACGTATACAAAAACAACAAAACATTAGTCTCAAAATGATTTGGGGTTAGCTAACATGAATTGTCATAAAATACTGCCCAATCGAGAAAAAAAAAAATATATAACAAGATTACCAGTTGAAAAAGTTTGAAAAGAAAAAGGGTGCGTAAACTGTAAAGTGAGAAAAAGAAATAGAATCCAAATAAAGGGGTTGTTTGGCAATCGGCGGTTGGCTGCTGGCTTGTTTGCTTGGCTTGTTTGACTAGCTGGAAGTAGTAGCTGTATGAATTAGCTTTTTAAGTTAGTTGTTTAAGCCGGTTGCTTACAAAAGTGTTTGGTAAATTTATTTATGGTTATTAGCTGTTTATTAGTGATAAAGTGGGCTAACGAGCCAAAAACCAATAGAAAAAGCTACTCATATTAGCTTTTGGCGGAAAAGTCAGCTTAAAAGCCAACAACAAAGCTAACTACCAAACATATTTTTTTGGTTGTTTGACCAAACTCAAAAGCCAAAAGCTAGACAAAAAGCCAATTGCCAAACACCCCCAAATTTAAAAAAGTTTTAAAAGAGAAAACCCACTTCAGGAAAGTTTTATTCAACACTTACGATGATTTTATATTATTGAATTCTAAGTTTTTATAGTTTACAAGTATTAATTTTTATTTGATATTTCATCATTATAGACTTGCTAAATAATTTCTTTCATATTTTTCACTAATATATGTCAAAATTCCAACTTTTTAATTTCTATTATCATTTGTGATCAAGAAAATTTCAAAATAATTTTTTAACATTTATAAATATTAAAAAGATTAATTAGTGTTGGTAAAAAATAATTCAAATAATTATAGACTTGCTAAACCGACCCGTTCAATAGGGCGATCGAGGATAGAAATATTGCCAACCTCACATAAAAGGGCTTGGTTTTGCTACATTAGGCATGTTCTACAAAAATTGAAGTTTAGGCCGAGCCTGTTTTCTGTCCAAACCTGCAAACAATCACCTCTAATCAAGATCTCACTGACATAAATTATTTAATTATTTATATTTACTAGCTCATGAATCATGATTGTCATGATTGATTCTTTTCGATCGTATTTCATTTATTAATGTACTTGCATTATTTTGAAATGACAACATATTATATTCAATCTGTTCACATATAATCTTTTCTGCTACTTAGTCTTTAGAATATCCATAAGTAATTCCCCTTTGTTTTCAAATAGTAGTAAATTTCTTTCTTCTCAACCAATGTGAAGTTGACCCCCTCTATTTAGGCTCGAATCTTTTGAATTTTTTTCAATTTGGTTTAGTTTAGGTCATCTCAGTTAATTAATCTACTTCATTTTAGTTCTATTCTGCTCATTTCATTTCAAGTCTAAAGAACGGACCTGGCTATGTTCCTCTTACAATTTCCTTCCATCCTTCTTAATATGAATGTGCAAACCTAACATAAAGATTATTGGAGGACAAAGATCGTATGACATAGTGTAGTGTAGAGTTGACGAACGTGTCGTGTCCTATTCATGTTCGCGTTCACGCATTGGAGAACCTCAATATTAACTTGACCCGACCGTTTAATTAAATATGTCAGAAACCCTTGACACTAACCCACTTTTCCATATCATATTCGTGTCATATTGTCTAATTATATTTATCATTTCCATATTATCTTTCTTGGACGAGTTGGATCGTGTTAGGAATCTCAAAACCAACCCATCATGTTTAATTAAATAGGTCGCAAACCATTAATTCTAGTATCTATTTTTTTGGTATCCAGTTTCTATCGTGTCAACTTTTGCCAACTCTAACATTATGGTTAAAACTTTGATGTTTACTTTAATAAAAGACTTACTTATTGAATACGTATAATGTTATATATGTGACCCATAAACATGTTTAGAAAAGCTTTTTAAATATACTCAAGTAGTATAATTGTAAACAGTGGGTTTAGAACTTTTATTTTCTAAAAAAAAAAAAGAAAAAAAAAAGATCAAGTAGAAGAAAAACTGAAAAAGAAAAAGTGAGAAGTGGGGATTTAGGGGAAGTGGTGGTGGTGGTGGTAGTTGAGGGTTTTTGTGTAATTTCAGTGTAAATTTAAGGTAATTTATATAGATAAAAATTAAAAATAATGTGGTTTCACTTCTCACCTACTAATCGCAAATTCGTCACAGTTCTATATTTTTAATTCGCTGGCATTCTGCTGCGCCAACTTATTTGGGCTTAGTGCACGAAGCCACCATTCGGCATTCGCTCACAATTATTTTTTTTCTACTTTGTATTCATTTATTTATTTTGTAAGACAAGAAGAGGGGGCCTTACTTGAGGGAAGGAGATAACTCAAATAAGGGATATTTCTTTAAGTGAGTCCTATGAAATTTGATCTTTAAGCGTCAGGGATATAAAGCGGGAAGCGATATCACTAATCAACCACTTTAACCTCTGCTATTATATACTGTTTATTTGCATTAAGGGAAAAACAAAATTTTAATTACGTTAGGTATGTTAGTTATTTGATAAGTGTGATTATTTTCAATTTTATAATCGGATTAATAATGGACAAAGTTATGGAGTATACTTTCTCTATCCCAAAATATAGGGTCTAATTTTAATTTCATGGTTAAATTTTAAAATATTTGACCACAAATTGTTATTATATGTATAAAAATTTTAAAAAGCATAGTTTTGTAAGATATATATCATTGAATACCTTACACTATCCTTTAGTCTTAATCACTATATTAATTATCTGTATAAAGCCCTGTTCACTTCACCTTAAAAAAATAATATTAAGTAAAAATAATTTCAATTCACTAAAAATAAGTTCAGTTTACTAAAATAATTTCAGTTAAGTAAAAATAAGTTCAGTTTAGTAAAATTCAGTAACTATAAATAAGAAATATAATAGAAAATCAGTAAAAAATAATTTCAGTTCAGCAAAAATAATTTTAGTTCAGTAAAAATAATTTATGTTCAACAAAAATAATTTAAGTTTAGCAAAATTAAGGTAAAGTAAACAGGGCCAAAGACAAAATATTTTGAAATAAATGAAGTAGTTGTATTATCCGTATTATATATATTCG